CTTAATGACAACGATCGCGGGCCGTAGCGCTTATCCACTATGTCACCGAGCTACGAGATTAAATGTATAGCTACTTTAAAAACAAAACTATTGGACACATTCACAATACAAAAATAATGGCAACGTTATTTTGAAAATACATTTGACTTGTTTATTTACCCCTGGCTACCGTTTAAAAGTTGTGTAATTTATGGAAAGTGTATGAAAATATAAGAAATCAATATAGAACCTTAATTTTTACAGTGGTCTGTTTAGCTTCCGGATTATATTAGAAATTTTCACAAAATTTGTAGGTATTATAATGACAAGCAATAAAAAAACTCTGTAACTTTATCCCTACTAGAAGCTTCTATATTGAATGCTTTAAAGCTCAACGGAAACAATATCCGTGCGATTGTTCAAGCCTTAACACAGACCAATTTCACATGAAATAAATTCACATGGCAAAAAAGAGCGTGAAACAGCAATACGTCTCTTGTGTGATGTCAACTACTGGTCCACAAACGAGGAGTACATCTGGGACAATACATAATCAGCCCAGACGATATAAAATAATAAAGCATAGAAAGCATAGACTTTTTGGAGGCAACTAGTATTATTGCTCCTCTGTGGACCCATCTCGGGGGATCTTGTTAAATTACAGAGGTATAATAATACTCTCCGATGTCAGTGAAAGAGTTGCTATAATGCTGCCGGCTTATCTTTTATGTTGCAGTAACTACAGGCTAAATGGTTTTGTACCACAACGACTTAACAAAAAACTGCAAAATGTATTAAAACAATCTGCCTCTTGTACTATCTTTATATTGGTCAATAAAGTTCAATAAATAAATTCGTATTACGAGTGATAACGTGGATGAAAAGGAATCATTTACTTGCGTGTCCGATCTAAATGTGTTTTTTTTTTAATCCCCGATAGTTTTCAGATTGCACCAGTTACTAAGTAGGAACCGTTTAAACCACTCTGATGCCTACTTTTGAAGTTTCTTGTTACTGAACACTTGTGTAAAGTTGCACACCAGAGTTCAGTAACTCGTTAAATCCATGTTAAAATATTTTTATAGAGTCTGGTTGTCTTTTTTGCCTACTTAAAAGAAGTATTTTAATGAAAAATGCTTCATAAATTCACTTTGTTCCTGGTATTCTGAAATGGGACTTGAACCATGGCCTTCCGCAATCCGGGCGACTGTTTTAACCAAGACCTAACAAAACTGACGACTTTTCAATCAGTTTTACATCTTATGATCAAATAAAATAATTAGAACAAATTTTTATCTTTATAGAAAGTTTAAATATTTGTAAAAAATATTTCTTTGGGCTATTTGGGTGGATAGCATTGATGAAAATACGCTAAGTATAAAGTAACAAGTACTTGAAATGGTATGGGGTAGCTTGGTGGTTAGAGCAGACGTTTGGATTGCGAAAGGTCATGGGTCCCGTGTCATAGTATCAGGGACAAAGTGAATTTTTCATTGAGGATAATTTTAGTATAGCATTGTGAATGCAAATATAATAATAAGAATCTTAATCATAAAAATGAATTTTAATCAATAAAAATGAATTTCGGTGATCATGATGAGACGCCATTTTGTTCACACGCCATTTTGTCACTAAAGATTTTACAATATTCTAGTATTCGTATCATAATGATAGTAGCTGGGACGATGTAACAGTGTTAATATGCGTCGTTACGACTATTTCAATAGTTATCTGGGTACAAACCGGCGTTGGTCGGTCTGTTGGTCTGTTGTTATAAGAGAAGCGTGACACTTGATATGTTACTAGTCTGTATCAGGTGTCGGTAAGTAAATTAGGGATCCCGATACGTGTCGAAGTTTTGTTTATTTAGTAAGACGATTTAGAGGGTCGTCGACCATTTTGTTTTTAAGAGCTGGAAGTGAATTATATTTTTTAAGTTAATTACGTTCATATAGAGACGGTAAACATTATATTATATACTCGCTAATTTAAACATAATTATGAGTTCGCAAAATAAATTATTGATAAGAAGACAATATTCGAATTTATATATATAGCGAAATATACTCTGCTCTGCTACTTTATTAAAAATACTGCGTTACATGCACGCTGTCTCTATCATGCTGCGGAATAGCATTGATGTTTTACTCTTCAATATTAAAATAACGTAAGTGAGATTAGTATAGACAGGAAAACAGCTGATAATAATTATAACGAATGTTTGTTGTTTTAAGGTTTTTGAAGTCAGTATTATTTTAAACGATAACTCTATTTTTATTGCTATAGTTATTTTTTGTCTTCTATAAATTTAAATGCGTATAAAATAATACAGAAGATCTAACGATAAATGTAGTTCGATAAAAGCTATTCTACTTTTGTAGTTGACCATCTGTTCTCTTGTGATTTGGACCATATGTAGCGCGTTGCAGTTTTGTAAATGCGCGGTGAGTTACGACGCGCACGCAAGTGGGTCGCAACGGCATGTCAATGTGACGAATTGTGACGAAATTGTGGATTTCAGACATGTTTCACGGGATATTTCAACGACTGGTTAAAGGTGATTCAGATGTTTTAAGAGCACGATGTTTCACTACTGCTTAATTATGATACTTTTACAACAGGATGTATAATAAGCGATAACAAAAAAAAAACGAAAGCAATGTATAAAATGAGAGATTCTTAAATGTATTTATAAATTTTACAAATTTAATATATTTTTTGTAAAGAAGTGATCTACCAGGTTTTTGAAACTTGATTCTAAACGTCCCATGTTCGAATCAGCTCCTAATGGAATCGTCCCAAGCTCCTATTTGAATAAAAAAAACAAAACAAGCAATAATAAAACATTTTTAATACTTAGTTTATGATTTAATATTTATTTATGTATTTATCAATAAAATAATGTAAATATAGTAAGTTTATTTTTTAACTTTATTTCTGAACACTTAATTTAGTCTTCAAATCATTCTGGGCGTAGTTTAAACGAGATAGCATTATGTCGCTGTTATATATATATATATTCTAAGATCAACGAAGATACCACAATGCTCAAATCGGATACATCATAGAAGCCCTTTTTTACATTCGGAATTTACACCGGGAATCAAACCCGAAATCAAGACCTTGAAAACGGCGTGCAAACCACTCGGCTACAGAGGTCCACTAGGCAGTGGTAGGAGGAGTATACGCGTCAATAGCACGTGATGAACGCTAACAAAGAACAAAGCATTGATTTTCAGCATTAATAATCCAAGTTATAAGAAAGCACGGAAAAGTTTCAATAATAAATTCTAATAAAATAATAGAAAAATATACAAAATAATAATAACCTGCCTATTTAATGAATTATAAAAATTTCTAGATTTCGTTAGTTAACATATTTACGCATCATAGTTATTGTACTATAGTTTCAAAAATAAGACATTCCAAAGTATCTAGAGTAAAGTACATACTCCTGTTTTGCATTAAATCTAACGGTTCAGTTTAAAAAAACATTTTGTTTTTTCGACATTAACTAACACTAAGCGTTATGACATCTTTTTGTAACTGAATATGGTTTGTATGGCTGCTGTCAAACCTGTCACCTGTCAGTGTCATGTGTCGCTCAACTTTCAAATTGCCGCGGCCGCGTACGCACAGAAATAGAGACCATCTTGTATATGTCGCTGATAGGTGTTAATGAAAAAATGCAGTTGAGAAGAATTATAGTCGTATTTTTTTTTGTTTATAAATTATATCAACACTTATAAATATTAGAGGAACATTATAACATATTATGCGAGGAAAGATTTAACTGTTTGTTTGTTAGCACCAAATAAGCTCAGAAACTACAGGACCGCAGGAATGCAGCTATTAGTATAGGAAGACATTTTACTTGGTAACCAAAAATATTTATTTTTGCATAGAAAATACTGTATTTTGTAAGTGTTGTATTGTAAATTTCAATTTCTGTATGTTTATTTACTCTTTTATAATGAAAATTTTGTTAATAATTGAGTTACTTTATATCTGTTAATAAAAGTATTTTTTTTTATATTAGCAAATAAAAATTCATGGTCATTCGATAATATGGTATATAAAACCATGAAGTGACCATAAAATACATACCAACGAATAATAATAATTGTTTTGAACATAAATAGTATAAATTACATAAAAATCTATTTACGTCGAACAGAAGCTATTGAGTTCTTCGAGTTTTCTTCCTCAATACCTATTTAGACTTATTTTCCTTTCATTTTATTAAACATATAGATTATTATTATTACGCAATTTTATAATCAAATAGATTATATAGACACCGTAGAAAATTTATTAGATACTTCAAGTGAGAGAGTAAAAATTATTCGGTTGAAAAATTTATATTTTCATTAATCGTCTAACATTTATCAATTTATGAAATAAACTTCCAAACCACATAAATGTCATCGCTTTTGACGGCTCTCGCTTCGTGTTATTTTATTTCATCATTTTTCATCACCCCGACCTAAGCAGACATGATGAGTTGTGACAGGTCAGCTCAAACTGTAAACCATAAAAACATCAACTCCCATAATTCCGCTCGACCTAAAGACGATATGATAAATTTGGTTCATGTCGAACGCGATATTTATTACCGGTAGAAAAGAAAATATAATAATGTTACTATTAAAAAAAAATCATAGATTGATGGGAACGGACCGTCCGAAACTCTCACGGTTTTCATAAACGTGCCACTAACATATTATTCTTGGAGCCCTTCCAATGTTGTAATTCGTAATTCGACTAACGATAATATTTCAAAACTTACAAGGTGTAAATTATTACTTATTTAAGGGCACCGCGACGCGACGATAGAATTACGGTAACTCTAATTATCTATCGTTCGCGTTTTCATCGGTTGACCTAATAACTTCAATATTATGATGTTCCGCGGCGCGTGCTCGCGGTGCACGCCGCACGCACAACTTAACTTTAAAAATAGAATGCACATCGGCCCGTGTACATGTATTTCACGTAAGGAGCTTTCAGTGAGGCTGGCCAGTCGACGCGCTCGTTCGGTCGCGCCGCCCGCGCTCATGTTGCGCGCCTCCCGCCAAAACGTAACTTTTTAAAGAGTGCGTGACACTTTTTTTTTTCGAATAAACTTTTTAAATTCAGGCGCACTGCCAGTGTCCATTGATGAGCTCCGCCGGCGTTGCACCGTGTGACACGCGACTAGTGTGTGCGTCCGCACAAAAGTTGATTTCTAAACGTGTTAAACGTTTCTGAAGCTAATCACCGGGCGCGTAACCGTGTTTCAAAAATAAAACCGTTGCCGATTCGAAACCGGAGCACCTCGAAGGTTAATGACAAAATAAAAAGCGTGCATTAAATTATGTGTCTAAACGATCACAACCTGGATTCTTTCGGTTTGTTACTGACACGGCACGTGAGTTTATTGCCGGGGAAACCATCTTTTTTTTTATATGCTCATTCAATATAATTCTCATTTCATTACACCTACCTAACATGTTTATAATAAGATTATTGAGACATAACATTTATATTTGATTTTTTATTATCACATATCATCACAAATTTTTATGCGTTCCATGAAGACGTATACACCGATCAACTACCGTATTCAGATATCTAACAGAAACTTGGTTGGTTTGAAACTTTCATCGAGATGGAAGTATTAATTCGTCTATTGAACAGGGCAGTATAGTACAAAATTTCACTTATATAGGTATTAAAAAAAAGGTTTTACTGTTTTGCGTATATTTTTATTGCAAGTACACTTCGTTTGTGTTTTAAAGGAAACCACGAAAAAGCGATAAGCGCGATAGTTTTTTGAGGAGATGGACAAATTCAAACAGTTATTAATAGTGTTGTCCAATTTTTTGTGCAATGTAATTCTAATGTTATAGAATTTTCTGAATACCTACGTTAACACTAAATGAAAAAGACAAAAAAATATATCTGATTATAAAATATGCAATGAAATTGTATTTAATGTTAACATTAAATAGGGTATTTGTACAAGTAAAAGATTCTCCACCCATCACTTTTAATTATCCTAATCTGGTTTTGAAAATCAGCCTTCGCTTGCATAGAAACTATGTTTTACCTTAAACATACGGTATTTAAATTTAAAAGAATATTATTTATTGGAACGATTGCTTATTAATTTTTATTTCCATTTGTACTTGTGAAGCATTGTAATGTAAGATTCTAAGTTTTTGTTTATTTGAAACCTCTTCATATCTTTTACGCCTTTATTATCAGCAATTACTTCTTAAGCATATAAACTTTATTTATTTTGTTTCGTTAGCGTTTCATTTAAAATATTTTCAGTATAGCATTGTACATGCTAAATTAATCAAATATAATAATTAGAACAAAATTTCATCTTAGTCGAAAGTTTAAATATTTGTATAAATATTTCTTTCGGCTGTTTGGGTGGATTGTCTGAAGGTTGATTGAAAATACGCTCTGTAGTAGCGAAAAAGTGCTTGAAAGACTCATGAGTCCTGTTAGGTCCTGGGTAGTTCAGTGGTTAGAGCAGTCGCCCGGATTGCGAAGGGTCGAGTTCCATCTCAGAGTGCCAGGGACAAAGTGAATTTATTAAAGCATTTTTCATTAAGTATATTTTTCAGTATAGTATTGTAAATGCAAAATTAATCAAACTTTTTGCACAATGATATGACGAATTAAAATTAACGATAAACTGTTTTCGCAAAATGGAAACATATTACAACATTTGCAACATTACACATTTAAAATGTGCAATATGCGTGAAATTTTCCAGTGTATAGAACACTGGAAAATTTAAGGACTAAATAAATAACCTTACAATTTCGACGAATTTAATAAATAGTCTCGGAAAGTGGTTTTTATGATGATCTGTGTTTATAATTAAAATTATTGCGTAGTTTAAAAGATTTCAGCGTACAGACGGCGGGAAGCGACTTTGTTTTATATGTATAGAAGATGCTGATACTATTTCAGAGGTAATTAGTGACATGAGCGTTAGATTATGTCTAAATATTAAGTGCTACCTTCCTTGTTTCAGTAGTACTATTTTGTAACAAAAGCAGCCTCTAGTTCGTTGTAAAACGCATCACTTCTAAATCATAGAGGTTCAATCAAATTCAACCTCCTTCAAAATATAACACGCCAACACAGACTTCGATTTTTTTGTTTGACAATTGGCGAAATATTAAGCGGCAATTATTGACGTACTGTGAGAGTGTAAGGGACTAATGGAGTAACTCTGGTAACTCTGACAGTGAAGACAGTGACTAGTTTATTTGATGTAATTGTAAATTTATTGACCTATTTTATTTATGATTTACCTATTTTATGTGTGTTAAATTTTAATTATTTTAATAATTAATGTGAATTGTTAATTTTATTCTTTTTTTTTTGTAATGTATGATTATTGTGACTGATGTATGTCGTTTTTATCACAATAATAAATAAATAATGAAGGGCTCATCAGTCAAGAAGACTTGAACGACTTAGAATACTTAGAATAGCATAGCGGATTATTATTACACAAGGGCTTTAGCATCTCAGTGTTGGGATCTGAGTAATGTATGTTGTGTACTATTTATTTATTTATGGTTATACACGGCTGCCCGTCTGGAGGTGGTTGGAGAGTGTTGACCCATATTGGCGCGGTTAAAACCAGCCGGCCGGCCAAATACAATGCGCGGGCGCAAACGGGATCACTACCACGCCATTCTCATTAGAAATGTCTACAAGTCAATCGAATATTATTTATTTAATAAGCAGCACCGCCTGAGTGTCATTACTATTTTGGTATAGTCAGAATAGGGATAACAAATGGGTAAAAAAAAAGCTATTTAGTCCGGCAATCAGATAATAGAGAAATATTAGATACGTTTTTTATTTTACTTCAATTTAACAAGAAATATTTTAGATAACTTAGTGTGGGGGCTCGCTACGTCACAGTTTTGTAGAAAATGTACTAAAGCCTGACGTCATGGGACATTTTAACTCAATTTGTCTAACGGACTAACAAATAAAAATTTGTCGTTATTTAAATTGATGTACTGATCATAGTTCTGTATTCTGTAATAATATTGCAACAAATGTGGCGTCGAACACAAAACAATGACATATAAAACCTTAATGGACGTTTGTGCAACAGACCGATAATCTTTATTACTTTTTCCTTTGTATGGAAGCGAGAGTTGGGTATGTTAGAGAGCATGTTAATAAAATAAATGCAGTCGAGATGCTTTAGTGACGTATAATTATTAATAGTTAATAGAACGCGTTCATAATGAAGAGATAAGAAATTAAGTTTACCTGAAAGATAGAGTCGGTGTAAAATAAACAGAAACAAAGAAACAGAAAAGAGAGAATGCCAAAACTGATATAAAACGCGAAAGTGGAAGGATGCAGAAGGCGAGGGAAACCACGACACAACTTTCACCGTCAAATCAATTGTGTGCTATTAGAAGATGACGTCAGAAGTCATAAAACCATATGTATGAAAAGAGTAATCAAAGTGAATGAGGTGAAAGATGTATGTAAGGATCCGTGCCTTATCTCACTCGTTCCTCTCTGCCTACTCCGAAATCGATACGGCGTGAAGATATAGATAGACCTTTAGTAGGATATATTTGATTACACCTCCAATGCTGTGATCACCACTGTAGATTAAATGTCGTTTAGTTCCGCATGCGGGATGTGGACGATTTCTGTGGCTAGTTTTCCTAGATCGATAAACCAATGTTATCTGTTATATTATATTGTTACTGCTTTTGTGCTTATAAAGAAGACTGTATGCTATTAAAAGTAGTGAATAAATAATAACTTTCGCTCTTGAAAGTATCAAGAAGTGTGTGATTTTCATATTATGCCTACGATAACAGTTCTCCCAGAGATACTTTTTTATTGTCATATCACGTCTCAGATGACGCAACAATGTTACAGGATCGCTGACACAAATAGTTTATCGCGATTTTACATCATTTTCATATGTTTATTTCCATATTTGTGTATACAAGAAGTATAAAACTATCTATTTATCATTCTACTGCTCCAGCGAAATCTTCCAATTAATGTTTGCTTGAATGCATCCCCCTATGCTAGGGCTGTCGATCTTTATATTTTGGCAGTATTCTAGGGCCCGACTGTCTAGCTCAAAGCCAATTTTTATCAATGAATAAGTTAATATATTATTTTAAAATACTGAACAGTTTTTTATTATTTATGAATTTCAGGGAAATATGTTTCTTTTTTGATTTGTCTTAATTTAAATATAATCAAAGAAGTCGAACTAAAATTTTTGAAACCTGAAATAAATTTGATTTCATTTATTTGATATAAAAATAATAAAAACATTATAATAATGGAAGTATTTAAGGAAAAAAAAAATACCCCAAGAAAGCACCTCGCTAGATGGCGACTCTAGCAAAAGTTGATTGTTACAGGAAACGAATGGACCAAAGATAGTCATATCCGTTCCTTTTAACTAACATATTAAAAAACTGAAATTTGCAAAATTCGAAACTTAGATATCAATACAAATAGAATATGAGTTGTTTATTGAGTTTTGAAAGTTAAATTACTTTTATACATGAAAGAAATCCGAAAAGGTTGTCATGAAGAAATCAAGAAAGTACCGTAGCGACATCTAGTTTGAGTTCGAGAACTAATGTTTTTTAACTATGAAAGTAAATAGTTCCTCATTGCTTATTTCGACGACCTATAAAAATATAAATCAAGTGAAAATACGTAAAAAATTATATATTATTCGAATTGTATTTAACTATAGTATTAATGTATCCTGTTTTTAAACTGAATAATCGTGCCATTTTCATTTCGAATTCTAGTATTTGAAGTTTAAGTTTGTTGACAGCAACCCTACAGTATACATGCGAGATATATGTCTGATAAACGATTAACGACCTTATGATTATACGAGTATAGGCAGCTATTAAATTAGATAGTTTTTTCTATATTATTACTTCATATTTTTATCTTCCTATTTTATTGTTTTTGTGATAAAAATGCCCTGTAAAAGACCGTGTAAGTTTCGATTTTAATCTGTTTATTTATTTAATTGTAAGCTTTTTTCCCGCGACTTCGTCTACAT